ATAGTTAAATATCAGTGTTTGCTAATACAAAGCAGAACGTCTCAGCAGGATATAGAAACTTTACAACAAGACCTCAATATAATAAAGGAGTAGGCAACTACATGGCAAATGAGGTTTAATGTTGAAAAATGTAAAGTTATGTTCTTGGGGCTAATAATATGAATGCAAGTCACTTGTTAGGGGGAGAACATTTGAATTCCGGATGGTAAAAGATCTAGGGATCCTAGTAGATCACGGGCTCAGCAATAGCAAGCAAAGCTAGCAGACTATTCTGCATTAAAAAGGATATTTACTTGAGATAAGACTATAATTATATTACTTTACAAAACTGAAGTCCAGCAACATCTTGAGTATGCCTTCCATTTCTAGTTACCAGTCCTCAGGACGTACAGTGGGGCAAAAAAGTATTTAGTCAGCCACCAATTGTGCAAGTTCTCCCACTTAAAAAGATGAGAGAGGCCTGTAATTGGCATCATAGTTAGACCTCAACTATGAGAGACAAAATGAGAAAAAAAATCCAGACAATCACATTGGCTGATTTGGAAAGAATTTATTTGCAAATTATGGTGGAAAATAAGTATTTGGTCAATATCAAAAGTTCATCTCAATACTTTGTTATATATCCTTTGTTGGCAATGACAGAGGTCAAACATTTCCTGTAAGTCTTCACAAGGTTGGCACACACTGTTGCTGGTATGTTGGTCCATTCATCCATGCACATCTCCTCTAGAGCAGTGATGTTTTGGGGCTGTCGCTGGGCAACACAGGCTTTCAACTCCCTCCAAAGATTTTCTATGGCTTTGAGATCTGGAGACTGGCTAGGCCACTCCAGGACCTTGAAATGCTTCTTACGAAGCCACTCCATTGCCCGGGCGGTATGTTTAGGATCATTGTCATGTTGGAAGACCCAGCCACTTTTCATCTTCAATGCCCTTGCTGATGGAAGGAGGTTTGCACTCAAAATCTCACGATACATTGCCCCATTCATTCTGTCCTGTACATGGATCAGTCGTCCTGGTCCCTTTGCGGAGAAACAGCCCCAAAGCATGATGTTGCCACCCCCATGCTTCACAGTAGGTATGGTGTTCTTTGGATGCAACTCAGCATTCTCCTCCAAACATGACGAGTTGTGTTTCTACCAAACAGTTCTATTTTGGTTTCATCTGACCATATGACATTCTCCCAATCCTCTTCTGCATCATCCAAATGCTCTCTAGCAAACTTCAGACGGGCCCGGACATGTACTGGCTTAAGCAGGGGGACACGTCTGGCACTGCAGGATCTGAGTCCCTGGCGGCGTAGTGTGTTACTGATGGTAGCCTTTGTTACGTTGGTCCCAGCTCTCTGCAGGTCATTCACTAGGTCCCCCCGTGTGGTCCTGGTATTTTTGCTCACCGTTTTTGTGATCATTTTGACCCCACGGGGTGAGATCTTGCGTGGAGCCCCAGATCAAGGGAGATTCAGTGGTCTTGTATGTCTTCCATTTTCTAATTATTGCTCCCACAGTTGATTTATTCACACCAAGCTGCTTGCCTATTGCAGATTCAGTCTTCCCAGCCTGGTGCAGGTCTACAATTTTGTTTCTGGTGTCCTTCGACAGCTCTTTCGTCTTCACCATAGTGGAGTTTGGAGTGTGACTGTTTGAGATTGTGGACAGGTGTCTATTATACTGATAAAAAGTTCAAACAGGTGCCATTGATACAGGTAATGAGTGCTGGACAGAGGAGCCTCTTAAAGAAGAAGGTACAGGTCTGTGAGAGCCAGAAATCTTGCTTGTTTGTAGGTGACCAAATACTTTATTTTCCACCATAATTTGCAAATAAATTCTTTCCAAATTAGCCAATGTGATTGTCTGGATTTTTTTTCTCATTTTGTCTCTCATAGTTGAGATCTACCAGTGATGCCAATTACAGGCCTCTCTCATCTTTTTAAGTGGGAGAACTTGCACAATTGGTGGCTGACTAAATACTTTTTTGCCCCACTGTATGTGCTGGAACTGTAATGGATCTAAAGAAAGGCAATAAAGCTAATGGGGGTGGAGGGAGCTAGAGGACCTCAGTTACATTGAATGTAACATTTAAGTGGGGATATGATAAAGTAAAATACAAATATCTTAATGGTGATTCCAGCACAGGGAGGAAACTGTTTAGTTTCAGGTCACTTAACAGGACATTTCATTTTCTTTCCACGTGTTCTGATAATGTGTGTGGTTTTTGTTTTTTTCACATTCTAAGAGAATTCTAACAAATAGCATGTGAATATAAAAAAATACACCTCAAAATACATTCTGCTACTTCTGAGTATGGCAATAGCACATGTGAGACTTTTCCACCGCCTGGCCACATAGAAAGGCACAACATGCAAGGAGCACCATCAGGTGTTCTAGAGAGATAAATTACAAATCTAATTTCCTGAAACCTATCATTTTTTTAAGGCCCTTCATATTTCTAAAACATACAATATACATACCAAGAATTACACCCCAAAATACATTCTGCTGAGCAAAGGGTAAACAAAAGATTACTTGTGGTTTTAGTGCAGTTGCCCACAGAGGAGTGTACTGGTCCAGGCAGCAGGCAGGGACGTGGTCAACGACAGCAAAAGGAATTGTCCAGCAGCAGGTAGGAATATTGTCCATAGTTGGTACAGGCATACATATTGTCAGCACAGCCAAAGCATTAGTCCAGGCAGTAGGCATAGATGTAGTCAGCAGCAGCCAAAGCAACTGTCCAGGCAGAGACGTGGTCAGCACAGCCAAAATATTAGTTCTGTTAGTAGGTAGGAACATGGTCCATAGTAAAGGTAGTAGGGAGAGGTGTAGTCAGTTTGTTTGTTCGGCAGAGGCATGATGGCAATAAATCGGCAGCAGGCAGAAATAACAGGCTTGGGGCCTCGGTCAGGTAAGACCTGGGCAAGGGGTAGAGGCTTTGTCTCACCCAATCTCTTCGAAACCTGCAGACTAACAGACCCTTTTCCAGGAATTGCAAAACCCAGGAAAACCATAAACTGTTTTCTCCACTCTGAAAAACTATACTGAAGCCCCTTACATGTGTGAGACCCCTGTGTTATCTTGAACTTTTCTACTACAGTAGCAGGGCAGAAGATCAGTTCAAGCGGCAGGCAAAAAAACATGGTCGATTAACAGGTCAAAGTCAGTTCAGGTGCAAGGCAGAAACTTGGTTAATAGTTCAGACGGCAAGCAAAGGCATAGTCAATATACAGGCCTGGGTCAGTTCCAGAGCAGGCAGAGCTATGGTCAGTTTAGGCAGCGGTGTGGTTAAATAACAGGCTAGGGACAGTTCAGAAGCAGGCAGAGGCATGAGGAGCGTGAAGGCAAATGGTAGGAATTCAGAATTATGTTTACCATACTTCATTAATATTGAAGTGAAGTATGGTAACAGTGGGAAGTCACCTATGCACATGCCTGTTTGGGAAGGACACTGGGAATAATGAAAACTGGTGTCTCATCTGTAACGATTGTGTGCAATAGGGACATGGAACCTGTATGTGACAGCCATCTTGTTAAGGTCTCGGCCATTTTGTTTTTCATGAGCAGTGATCTTCCATATTCCTGACAACTGTGGCATTTGTACCTGTAAGTAAAACACAATAGATGCAGTGTCCAGACCTGGTCAGAACTGTAAACAGCTAGTCTTGGCAGGATGTCTGTTTCTATGAATCATGAAAAACTCTTTCCTCTGACCTGTCGTAAAACAATAACTCAGTCAAGCGTGCCACACATGACATGTAAGGCCATTTAAGCTCTAGGAATGCAGAGCATGCCATAAAACGTCTATTCCACAACCTAACAATTCTACATAGAATTCAACAGGAACAGGACACATTATGTCAGGGCTCCCGGGTGTGACCAGAGGTATGTGACTGACGCAGGGAAACGCAGACTTCAGATATGTTATAAACAATATCATTTATTAACACTAACCATACAAACATAAACGCAGTGCAATACTAAAACATAACACAGTGCAAAAAAACCAAACCACCCACAGATAACAGTACATACAGTGCAAGCGTCGTCAGGCAGGCCGGGTCAATATCAATCGGCAGGTAGGTACAGGGGGAGCAAGCGGAGAATAGTCAGGTCACGAGCAGGGTACAGCAACTAACAGGCAGGTAGGTACAGGGGGTCAGGAGAGAATGGTCGGGGCCACAAGCCAGGGATCAGAACAGGAGAAGTCAGCAGAGGTCAGAATCAAGCCGGGTCAGCAACAAAACAGGAACAGGATGCAGGATTACAAGATACAGGGCCCAGGAAAAACACAACACCAAGGCCGAGTCTGCAGGTCTGAATGTCCCTTAAATACACCAGTATAATTAGTTCCAGGTGTTTGACTGGCTGCAAGGTTGAGTCTCTGATTGCTGGGAGCACCCGCTGGCCAGCCCTGGTACTGCAGCTCACAAGGCAGGTGAGTCCCACTATTGCTGGCCAGTCCATTCCTGACAGTACCCCCCCCCCAAGGAGCGGCCTCAGGACGCTCCAAACAGTCATAGCTGGGCAAAATGTTCCACCGCCCGTCTGGTAACTGGCGGGATATCAAAGACTGGCACACCGGGCAGGACTCCGGGCAGCGGCACACCGGGCAGAGGCACACCGGGCTGGACTCCGGGCTGAGGCACATGGGCTGGACTCCGGCTGAGGCACATCGGGCTGGACTCCGGGCAGAGGCACATCGGGCTGGACTCCGGGCAGAGGCACTTCGGGCTGGACTCCGGGCAGAGGCACATCGGATTACCAGGTGAAGCAGCAGGCACCGGGCCCCCAGGCGGGGCGACAGGCATCGGGCCCCCAGGCGGGGCGACAGGCACCGGGCCCCCCGGCGGGGCGACAGGCATCGGGCCCCCAAGCGGCGGGCGCGGGCGGGGGGCGACAGGCCGGGCCCCCAGGAGGGGCGACAGGCATCGGGCCCCCAGGCGGGGGCGACAGGCATCGGGCCCCCAGGAGGGGCGACAGGCATCGGGCCCCCAGGCGGGGCGACAGGCATCGGGCCCCCAGGTGGAGCGGCGGGCACCGGGCCCCCAGGCGGAGCGACAGGTCTCGGGCCCCCAGGCGGAGCGGCGGGCGCCGGACCCCCAGGCGGAGCGACAGGTCTCGGGCCCCCAGGCGGAGCGGCGGGCGCCGGACCCCCAGGCGGAGCGAGAGGCCTCAGGCCCCCAGGCGGAGCGGCGGGCACCGGACCCCCAGGCGGAACGACAGGTCTCAGGCCCCCAGGCGGAGCGACAGGTCTCAAGCCCCCAGGCGGAGCGACAGGTCTCAGGCCCCAGGCGGAGCGGCGGGCACCGAGTCACCAGGCACGACAGTGGGCTCCGAGTCAACTGGCAAGACTGCGGGCACCGAGTCGAGTCGTCTGGCAAGACCGCGGGCACCGAGTCGTCTGGCAAGACCGCGGGCACCGAGTCGTCTGGCAAGACTGCGGGCATCGAGTCAACTGGCGGAACAGCGGGCTTCGAGTCGTCTGGCAAGACTGCGGGCACCGAGTCGTCTGGCAAGACTGCAGGCACCGAGTCGTCTGGCAAGACTGCGGGCACCGAGTCGTCTGGCAAGACTGCGGGCACCGAGTCGTCTGGCAAGACTGCGGGCACCGAGTCGTCTGGCAAGACTGCGGGCACCGAGTCAACTGGCGGAACAGCGGGCATCGAGTCAACTGGCGGAACAGCGGCTTCGAGTCGTCTGGCATGACTGCGGGCACCGAGTCGTTTGGCAAGACTGCGGGCACCGAGTCGTCTGGCAAGACTGCGGGCACCGAGTCGTCTGGCAAGACTGCGGGCACCGAGTCGTCTGGCGGAACAGCGGGCATCGAGTCAACTGGCGGAACAGCGGGCTTCGAGTCAACTGGCGGAACAGCGGGCTTCGAGTCGTCTGGCAAGACTGCGGGCACGAGTCGTCTGGCGGAACAGCGGGCATCGAGTCAACTGGCGGATCAGCGGGCACCGAGTCGTCTGGCAAGACTGCGGGCACCGAGTCGTCTGGCAAGACTGCGGGCACCGAGTCGTCTGGCAAGACTGCGGGCACCGAGTCGTCTGGCGGAACAGCGGGCATCGAGTCAACTGGCGGAACAGCGGGCACTGAGTCGTCTGGCAAGACTGCGGGCACCGAGTCGTCTGGCAAGACTGCGGGCACTGAATCACCAGGCACGACAGTGGGCTCTGACTCAATTGGCACGACAGCGGGCACCGGGTCATGAGGTACCGGATTGTCTGGCTCGACAGCAGGCATCGGGTCACCAGGTATGACAGCGGGCACTGGATCACCAGGCATCAGGTCATTTGGCTCGCCAGCGGGCACCGCGTCATCTGGCAAGGCAGTGGGCACCGAGTCACCAGGTACGACAGCGGGCTCTGAGTCAATTGGCACGACAGCGGGCACCGGATCAGGTACCGGATCAAACAGCGGGCATCGAGTCAACTGGCCTAATAGGATCGTCAGGCTGGATCAGTTCATCATGCTGAGTAGCGGCATCAGGCTGAATGCAGGCATCAGGCTGAGTAGAGGCATCAGGCTGAGTAGAGGCTTCAGGCTGAGTAGAGGCATCAGGCTGAGTAGAGGCATCAGGCTGAGTAGAGGCATCAGGCTGAGTAGAGGCTTCAGGCTGAGTAGAGGCTTCAGGCTGAAGAGAGGCATCAGGCTGAGTAGAGGCATCAGGCTGAAGAGAGGCATCAGGCTGAAGAGAGGCATCAGGCTGAAGAGAGGCTGAGTAGAGGCTTCAGGCTGAGTAGAGGCTTCAGGCTGAGTAGAGGCTTCAGGCTGAGTAGAGGATTCAGGCTGAGTAGAGGCTTCCGTGCTGCACCACGGAAGGCAGGTTCACCGGTTTGGATACTGGCAGGATGGTATTGGTTGGAAAGAATTTTCGCTTTTTTCTGGTTTTAACTACTGGAGCACTGCAAGTAAACGCAGGTCTGCAAATGAATGGAGCAGCTGGAGACAGAGAAGAGCTGGAGGATGGAACAGGGGAAGGAACAGTCGCTACAGAGGGCTTCTTTACAGGGTTAAAGGCAGGATAGGTGCAGCGAGTGGGAACAGGGTACTGACATGCGGTAGATAGCCAAGTATACTGGGCTGTAACTGGGGGAGTTGTTGGGAATACAGGAGTAGAGCTTTGAGGAAATAGATTAGAAGCAGGACTGGGTCTTTGTAAGCTGACTGAGGCTGGGTGTAACAAATCTGTCCATGTCTGCAGTATGGGTTGAACAAAGCTGAGCTTACACAAAGCCTGTCTGACCAAAGACTGCACTGCGTTTATACAATCTCTTAGTACCTGTGGTGAACATGTGGAATAACGCTCCAGAAAGTAACCCACATCATCCTCTAATAACCACACCAGGGACTCTACCTGGTCTGCACTAAATGGCGGCAAAAATTCATCCCTGCATTCGGGGGTACCAGATGAAACCAACTCAGCACAAACCTCAATCAATGGCTGCACCTCAGAGAATTCTGTGCCCTGATCTACTAGAACATGAGCGAGCCGTATACATTCTAGCAGTTCATCCCAGGTATACTCCTTCAGAGTTTGATAAGCATACTCCCTGTCATCAAACACTAGCAGATATAAATACACAACCTCATCAAGATCCATCCTTCCCATCAACAAACCAAGATGGCTTCCCTGTGCAGCCACTTCTGGTCAGGATTGGCCTTGGTGTAATGTCAGGGCTCCCGGGTGTGACCAGAGGATTGTGACTGACGCAGGGAAACGCAGACTTCAGATATGTTATAAACAATATAATTTATTAACACTAACAATACAAACATAAACGCAGTGCAATACTAAAACATAACACAGTGCAAACAAACCAAACCACCCACAGATAACAGTACATACAGTGCAAGCGTCGTCAGGCAGGCCGGGTCAATATCAATCGGCAGGTAGGTACAGGGGGAGCAAGCGGAGAATAGTCAGGTCACGAGCAGGGTACAGCAACTAACAGGCAGGTAGGTACAGGGGGTCAGGCAGAGAGTGGTCGGGGTCACAAGCCAGGGATCAGAACAGGAGAAGTCAGCAGAGGTCAGAATCAAGCCGGGTCAGCAACAAGACAGGAACAGGATGCAGGATTACAAGATACAGGACCCAGGAAAAACACAACACCATGGCCGAGTCTGCAGGTCTGAATGTCCCTTAAATACACCCAGTATAATTAGTTCCAGGTGTTTGACTGGCTGCAAGGTTGAGTCTCTGATTGCTGGGAGCACCCGCTGACCAGCCCTGGTACTGCAGCTCACAAGGCAGGTGAGTCCCACTATTGCTGGCCAGTCCATTCCTGACACATTAATAGTAGGTATATATTTGAATGGGAAATATCATACTGAATAAATCAAGGTTATACATGACTACCCTAGCACATACAAAAGGATAGAAAGCAGTTGTCTCCCTCCTGGGTGACAAAGGTATGCTGTGTTTGGTATCCCTGGACACAAAATATAATTCTGAATAAGATTCTGACATACTCTAGAATACCACCTACACGTATTGGAAGTTATTGGTATTAGTGAAAACTGTATTGCTTGTGTGTGTCGGGGCTTTACATTCCCTTCACACAAGTCCAGTATATAACAAACAGCTGGCCTGGAAATATTTGTCTTGACCTAGAGCATGTGTTAAGCATGCGTCTAATCTGATCGTCGGCCACGCCATATAATGGAGGGACCCATGGCAGAAACAGCATCTTTAGTTAAGTATTCTTGTTGTTTTTTTTTTCTTCTTTATCTGTATCTGTCATTACTTGTAATCAATATTTTAGTTATAAGTATTTGTGTGATCTCTCTTTGCACATATCAAATACAACCCCAAAACCCTAACAAAACACTTGGACAATTGGACTCTGCTAAAGCCAGCCTTTGCAAGTATTCTCTATTTTCACCTCCTTTATTTCTCTGTTGCATTATTGTTCTCTTTATGTCTTTGTAACATTCTTTTCTGTAAATATTTTAATTGCACCGTTTGACCTTTTCATTAATAAACCATATTTTGAAAGGGGTAAAATTGTCTCTAAAACTTTTAATGCAAACTAAAGAATCCCTGTCTCTTGAAGGGTGCTACTGATAATGACCCTCTGAGTATACCTGTCTGTGGTGACAGTGTGTTGCAGACATTTATGCTAAAATCATAGTGTTGTTGCTAAGATTGTGAGTTTTCTTCTCTGTAAAAAGGCACTCTCAGGCTTCTGGCACCTAGATTGTGGTCCTGCGTGCTGGAAAACCTTTGTGCAGGGGGCAACTGAGCGTGGCATTGTTATGCAAGTGGTGTGAGATTGGCTGGTCCTTTGTAACGAGTTGGTGAGAAGAGCAGGGGTCAGGCACCATATTCGTCACAACATCTAACTCCTCTTCTGGAGCACACCTAACATTTTTTTTTTTTACATCTTTAACCTCTTTCTCTGGGAGGGACTTTTTTGGGAAAATGGCGTTCGTGGAGTCTGCTAACTGCATCTGAACGAATACTTTCTGGTGGGCCTCCATGGTACAAAACGGCAGGGACAATTTCCTCCTGATAGTGAAGAAAGGATATGGGTGTCTCAGTGGACTTGCGGTAGACCACATATAAAGTCTAAATGGCCAAATTGAAAAAAATAAATGGAGACTTTCTTGTACCAATGGTGGGTGTGACAGAACGCCTGTCACCCCGATTGGGTGATTCCATCGTAGAACTGTTTCCTCGCTGCTGGGACACAGGACCAAGGTCTAATAGCTAGGCATTGCACCCAAGAGCTAGATGGCACAAGCTCAGGCACAACTGGAACCACTTTATTGAACAAAAATACAGATTTTTATACACTTCTGGAATAGGAGCAGTCCCCACATGAACATTCAAAAAAAATATCTACATTATGATAAACATTCCACAATGGTTTGGTAACAAGTGTAACCCACTGATATATTATTACTTGCAATACATTAAGATATACATTAGATGACGGTGGCCTGCCATTCAGGGTCACTAAAATTGACAGAACAGCCTCTGGAACTTGTATGCTGAATGGCAGGACGGTCAGGGACTACATTTCCCAGGAAAGGCATGTGGGCGGGGGCATATAAATATCAAAGCCTGGGAGATTGGCCAGGAGTGCGGGGAGAGACTGAAGGAGAAGGAGGTGTGCTGACAGCTAATGTGTTGAACTAGGGTTGGAGAGAGCAGCGTGAGAGCCTACTGACCACCCAGTCTGCCATGCTGTCCAGCAGGCCAATCTGACAGCAGGAGACTAGACACGATGGTGAGTCTGAACCGGAGAGTCCGTGGACTGACCCCATCTGAAGAGAAAGATGGACTGCTCTGGCCTGCCAAACCACTTTGATCGGGTAAGAGAGACCCATGCACCCACTAACCAAGTAAATACTGACAGTTTGCCATCTCAGCTTTCTACCTACACATAGTTGTGAACATTACATATAGTTGCCCCAGTTTGTGGCCTAGTTCTCCCAGCTGCCATCATTGGGATACATCTGCATTACAGTTAATCATACAAGCTGACCGCAGGACATACAGTTGCAGGCCAGGATACAGCAGTGCCAACTGACACAAGTTTCTCTTCTTCAACAAAGCAGGATTCCTACTACTGTACATTTTGTTTTTGATAGTCAGAGGGAGTTGTCTTTGTGCATAGACACTCATGCCAATTGTTTCTATTCATTACTTCATACCTGCCCTATGTGTAGTGCTTTAAAGGGAACACGCCTTGATTTACTACCACCTAGAGGGAAAGTGTTACATTTCTTCCTTTTCCCTCACTATCTTTGTGCTTGCCATCTTGAGCAACTATATTTCACACCTCAATTCAACTGCATACCATCTGGGCCCCAACAAGCACGCAGAAGTCACTTTAGTGTTCTTAATGGGACAGTGCTCAATTTCAAATGAGAATTCTATTTAGTTCACATCTAATCCTTGTCATCTAGTTCTGAGGACCCACTGTGAGCTTACCTGTTTCTTGATAGTTGTTCCTGCTTACTGGGGATTCAGCAGTCCCCTCAAATTGGAGGCAGTAGGTTATTTCTGAAAGCAGGCCTGCCAACAGTTATTGTTGCTTTACAGTGAATGTCGTCACTTTTGCTCACAATTACCAAGAGTGATTATATTTTCTGCATATATCATTGTGTGTTACTTTGTTCTTTTTGACAAGGTTACCCTTACTTCCAATATAAACTTCATGTTGGTTTATACTAACTTGTGTGTAAGTCTATTTTACAGTTGTGATTTATTGTATTGTGGTCACAAGAGCTTGGTGGTGTCAGCAGAGGTTGGGCTTTCAACAAGAGGTCCAGATTGACAGAGAACCCAAAAATTACTATGCAGAAAGACAGAAACAATAGGTGACTCATTTAACAATGGGAATGCATACCTAGGAGGCACACAATGGTAGAAAGAACTTAAACACATTACACCTTAACAAACAGATTACACATACCAAGCAGGAGACTTCAGCATCAGGTTGTTTTGAGCTGATTACATTAACATCTGCTCTAAGTCTGGGAGGGGGGTTTGAAGCAGTCAATGCTGGTGTGGGCACTGAGGCCCAAAATCTATATCCCAGTCCTCCAGTTCTCAGTCTGTGTGTTTTGGGGAGACATGGACATGAATCTGAAGTAAACTACTCCAAAGGTGTCCCGCCCCAGGCACACACCTCCCAAAGAATAGAGCCCCCTTACAAGCCAGGGCCATGGTCAGTAGGCAAGAGGCTGCAGTCCCCCCCCCCCCCCCCCCAAAGCCCCTGTTGGGTCTATCACAGTGGGTTCTTCTTACAGCAAGGTACGGCTGGATAAT